TGTGCTTAACATCCATGTGACCCTAAGTCTGGACAAAAGATCCCTTTCTATGAGTTTGGCTGGTATATCTCAAAGGCATCTCCTGTCTTATCAGTGGCATGCCTACTCACCAACAACCCTACCCCCATTTACTAAAATAGCAAATTTGGTTGGTCAGACAAAAATTAAAGAAAAACAGAGCATTTAGGAAAATGATTATACAAAACAAACACTATTTTACAACTTTCCTCTTAACATCAGAGTCCAGATGCAATTTCAGGGCCACCAACCCTGCTCTGAATTGCAACCTCCTGTGCTTGGAACGAATTGCAGATTCTCTTGATATTCCTCCAGAGTTGCAACATCTTGGACATAGTGCCATCCTTGCCATAGAGGTGGGATCATTACAGGCAACTTTTTCGTCTAGTGTGCCAGCAACCATCTCTGATCTGGGAAGATTAGTGAAAGTGTCATTGATGATTGATGCAATCTTGGTAAACTCCAGGCTACGTGGTCCCCCTCAAGTTTGGTAGCATCATTGTATCATCAAGGAATGCAAGTCAGATTAGCCTTATGTACACAAGGAATGAGTGATGACTGTAATGTGCATGCATGCTTCAACACCTGCCAATTTCTGATAATCAAACATTGCATATCAAAATGTTTCGTATTTGAAATGTCTCTTTTTCAATGGTGTGCTGCCTTGACATGTAATTATAATATTTATAATATTATTATTATGGATTACAAGAAGCAAAATATTATCAATGAAAATCTTGTAATTACCCAGCAAGATCTGCTCTGTGTTTTGATTTCCAATTAAAATATCTATAATAATCAAAAAATATCAATACAAATAAAAAAAAGTACCTCTGGTTAGTTTCTTTAGGAGTCACCTTGGACTCTGTCAAAAAATAAATCAATCAATTCACATCTGTCCTATATACCAAAAAAAACCAATAGGATAAATAATTAATGTGTATGTGTTGATCATTCACAAACTTCTTTAATTCTTTAAAAAAAAAAAGTTGTTTAATGACAAGAAAACTAAAAGAAGCAAAGAAGACAAGTGCGTTGAAGTGCAAATTGGGTAAGTGTTTTAAGGATGGTGGTGATGGTTATCGCCCACCACCCATCATCACTCTAGTTATTATTATTAAAAATGAGCAATAATAATATATTTGTAATTCAGGAACAACATGCCACTCATGCTCCTTGGGCCCTGGGCAAACAAACTGAGATTTGTTGGTTCAAATACAACAACAACAGCAACAACAACAGCAACAACAGCAACAACAATTACAACAATTACAAGAACAACAACAATCACTACAACTACAACTACAACCACAACAACAACAACAACAACAATTACAACAACAATTACAACAACAACAACAGCAAATACAACAACAACAAGAATGTCAAGAAAGACAACAACTACAACAACAATTACAACAACAACAACAACAACAAAATCAACAATTACAACAACAATTAGAACAACAACACCACCAATACAAATTCGCAACGCAAAACAAAATTCGTCATGCAAGACACAATCCATTATCTTACATAAAAAAAAACATGCATTTGGAAATCTTGATTGCAAAAAAATGGTTTACCGGAATTAGATTTGGAGGCTCTTTTG